TCAGCTGTTTTTACACCCGTATCCATAGCGTCTGCCAAATTGCCTAGAACATGGTAATCTTCAATAATATTAATCAAATATATAACTGCAATGCCACATATTCTATGGAATTTTTCCTGATTACCCTTAACCAGATTAAGTCATTCCATTTTTATGTTTTTATCAAGCACATTTCTTGTCCTTTCATTTCATTTTGTGTTTTATTAAATGTTGTTGTTAGGTGCCATCCAGTTGTCTCCGACTCATAGCGACTGTATGCAAACAGAACGAAACACCACTCGGTTCCGCGTCAGCTCCATGATCCTTGCTATATTTGAGCCCATCACTGCAGCCACTGTGTCAATCCATCTCACTGAGGGCCTTCCCCTCTTTCGTCGACCCTCCACCTTACCAAGCATGACATTCTTCTCCATTTGTCCCTTCTGATAACATGACCAAAGTAGGTGAGATGAAGTCTGGCCATTCTCACTTACAAGGAGCATTCCAGAGGCACTTCCTCCAGGACAGATTTGTTAGTTCTTTTAGCAGTGCATGGTACTTTCAGCATTCTTCATCAGCACCATAACTCAAAAGCATCAATTCTTTTTCAGTCTTCCTTATACATTGTCCAGCTCTCACATGCATGTGAGGTGATTGAAAATATCATGGTTTCTGTCAGGCACACCTTAATCCTCAAGGAGACATCTTTGCTCCTCAGCACTTGAAAGAGGTCCTTTGCAGCTGACTTGCTCAGTGCTATACATGGTCTGATGCCCTGACTGCTGCTTCCATTGGCATCAATTGTAGAACCAAGCAATGTGAAGTCTTTGACAATTTCAATCTTTTCTCCATTATCATGATGCTGCTTATAGGTCCAGTTCTGAGGATTTTTATTTTCTTTATATTGAGCTGTAATCCACACTGCAGACTGTATTCTTCAATCTTCATTAATAAGTGCTTCAAGTCATCCTCACTTTCAGCAAGCAAAGTTGTATCATCAGTGTATTGCAGGTTGTTAATGATTATTCCTCCAATCCTGATGCCGTGTTCTCCATATAGTGCAGCTTCTTGGATTATTTGCTCGGCATATAGGTTGAATAATTATGGTGAAAGGATACAACCCTGACACACTCCCTCCTTGATTTTAAACCTTCATTGTCCCCTTGTTCTGTAATTCTCATTCTTTTCAATGTTATCCACAGTTTGTTATGATCCACACAATCAAATGCTTTTGCATAGTCAATAAAACATAGGTAAACATCTTTCTGGTAGTCTTTGCTTTGAGTCAAGATCCATCTGACATCAGCAATGATATCCCTTGTTCCACATCCTCTTTTGAATCCAGCTTGCACCTCTGGAAGTTCTCTGTCAATATATTGCTATAACTGTTTATGAATTATCTTCAGTAAATTTTACTTGTGTGCGATATTAATGATATTTTTGATAATTTCCACATTCTGTGGGATCACCTTTCTTTAGAATGGGTACAAATATGGATCTCTTCCAGTCAGTTGGCCAGGTAGCTGTCTTCCAAATCTCTTGGCATAACCCAGTGGGACATTCATTTGTTGAAGCATTTCAATGGGTATTACATCAATTCCTGGAGGTCTGTTCTTTGCCAATTCCTTTAGTGCTGCTTCGACTTCTTCCTTCAATACCATTGGTTGTTGATAATATGCCACCTCCTGAAATGGATGAAGATCAACCAGTTCTTTTTGGTACAGTGGCTCTGTGTATTCCTTCCATCTTCTTTTGATGTTTCCTGGATCATTTAATGTTTTGCCCATAGAATCTTTCAATATTGCAAGTTGAGGCTTAAACTTTTTCCTCAGTTCTGTCAGCTTGAGAAATGCTGAGCATGTTCTTCCCTTTTGGTTTTCTAACTGCAGATCTTTGCACATTTCATTATAGTAATTGGCTTTGTCTGCTCAAGCTGCTCTTTGAAATCTTCTTTGAAATCAGCTCTTTTATATTGTCATTTCTTCCATTTGCTTTAGCTACTCTCTACTCAAGGGCAAGTTTCAGAGTCTCTTCTGACATCCATTTTGACCTTTTCTTCTTTTTCTGTCTTTTCAATGACCTTTTGCTTCTTCATGAATGATGTTCTTGATGTCATCCCACAATTCTTCAGGCTTTAAGTCATTGGTGTTCAATTCATGAAATCTCTTCTTTTGATGGTCTCTAAATTCAGGAGGGATATATTCAAGGTCATGTTTTGGCTCTCAAGGACTTGTTTTAATTGTCTTCAACTTCAAGTTGCACTTGCATTTGAGCAGTTGATGGTCTGTTCTACAATCTCCTCCTGGCCTGGTTTTGGTTAAAGATATTGAGCTTTTCTATTGCCTTTTGCCACAGATGTAGTCAATCTGATTCCTGTGTACTCCATCTGGCAAAGTCCATGTGTATAGCCGCCTTTGTGTGTTGAAAAAAGGTATTTGCAATGAGTGAATCATTGGTCTTGCAATACTATCATGCAATTTCCAGTGTTATTTGTGTTACCAAGGCTAAATTTTCCAACTAGCAGTGATTCTTCTTTGTTTCCAACTTTTGCATTCCAGTCACCAGTGATAATTAACACATCTTGATTGTATGTTCAGTCAATTTCAGACTGCAGAAGTTGATAAATATCTTCAATTTCCTCATCTTTAGCTTAGGTGGTTGGTGCATAAATTTGAATAATTGTAGTATTAACTGGTCTTCCTTATAGGAATACAAATATTATCCTATCACTGACAGCATTGTACTTCAGAACAGATCTTGAAACATCCTTTGTGATGATGAATGCCACACCATTCCTCTTCAAATTGTCACTCCCGGCATAGTAGATCATATAGTTGTCTGATTCAAAATGGCCCAAACCGGTCCATTTCAGCTCACTAAGACCGAGGATATCAATCTTTATGTGTTCTCCTTCATTTTTGAGAACTTCCAATTTTCCTAGATTCATACTTCATACATCCCATGTTTCAATTATTAATGGATGTTTGGAGCTGTTTCTTCTCAATTTCAATCATGCTACATTAGCAAATGGAGGTCTAGAAAGCTTTACTTTATCCATATTATTAAGTTTGGTTCTACTCTGATGATGCAGCTCTTTCCTAGTTGTATTTTGAGAGCCTTCCAACCTAAGGAACTCACCTTCTTGCACTGTATCAGACAATGTTTCTGAGATATTCATAAAGCTGTGCAGTAATGTATCACACAGTGTTTCTCTTCTATTCATAAGGTTTCCCCTGGCCAATTCTTTGATAAATTGATGGCTTCTTCCTTCTTCCTCATCTGTCTCAGTCTGTAAGCTATGTTGAAATCTGTCCACCATGTGAAACCCTGCTGGCATTTGAAACACTAGTGGCACAGCCTCAAACCTCACAGCAACACTCAAGCCACCACAGTACAACAAACTGACAGACAAGTTTGTCTCCCTTAGCTGTTCACTCTCTCTCTGCCCTCCTCTTACCTGGATTCCTGCTGCTGCTTCCTCTATTGTCATCCCCCTGGATTTTCTTTCCCCTGCTTTCTTTCCTCTTGGGGATGGGGCCTGGGCCCTTCCCCTTACCTGGATCTTTGCTGCTGCATTAAATATTTGTATACAGTTGCCTCATATTATCATCCAAACCCAAATGCACACACACACACAGATATGCACCAGATTGAAAGCTTCAAAAGACAGAGATTGAGTCTTGTTTATATTTTTCATCTGCCAACACTTAGCTTTGCATGTGATGAAAATTCCTATGTGCTCATTGAATCTAGCTTACCCTGTTATAATCTGTTCAAAATTTCCAAGTTTTTATTTGTATTCACATAATACAAAATTATTAAATATTAAATAAACATGAAATAAATGTACTCATAGCATTTCAATGTCTAAATACATAAGCCAAGAAAATCTATTCTGTATCTGTACATTATATATTGCTGGTGTGAGACTCTGAAAAAGTATTTAGTATGCTATTTGTACCATGAGAGACATTGTTTAGCATTATGTGCTCAGAAGCCCATTTGATTTCCCTGTGGAAATCTTCCTAAACCAGAAGCAGGTTAGAGTGGAAAAAGTATTTGGCCATTGGGAACCTGGAGCCTGCTGTCATGTCTCTCCTTTTGCTAATTGTATGACTATTGACAATTCATTTTACTGTCACAGCTTGAGGCAGTTCTTCTTTAAAATGTAAAATGTACTAGATAATCACTAATATCCTTCCCCTTCTCTTTAAATCTTATAGATAATCAAACTGAATCTCTAAATTGCAGGCCAGATTCCCTATGTATTCATTTTTCTATCCACAAGATGGCAGACTTTATGCTGTTTTCTTCATTCCCTGGTGGCAAATAAATAATAAATAGAAAACAACCTTAACCCTCTTGCAGTTTTGATGATTTTTAAATCCTAATTCCTAAAAAGTCTTAGAAATGCAACTTGAATTTTAAATTCTGACTTAAAAAAATGTCTTAAGGGCCTTGGATTTTCAAATCAAGATGATTTCCTCTTCTGTGTAGGAACGTTGATTTGAACTGTATCTACACACAAATGCAAAATCCGGTAATGAGGTAAAAAGGACTACAAATATTTTACTTGCTTTTCTTTACATAAGGAGCCTGAAGGAGAAGTGGTTAACTGCTTGGCTGCTAGAGGAAAGGTTGGTGGTTTGAGCTTCCTGCAAAGAAAGAGTAGTAATGGGCTTCTGTAAAGATTACAGCCTTGGAAACCCTCTGGGGCAGGTCTACCCTGTCTGATAGGGTCGTTACAAGTTGTAATTGACTCAATGTCTCACAATGTGCTGTTATTCTCATATGCTACCCCTTGTTATTGACACCTCCCAAGTATCCCAAACTTTTTTGTGCTTTTGTGTTCTAGGATTGGAACTGAGGCAGAAATAACAGATCGAAATCTATCTATTTCATGCACTAAATAGGAAATTAGGCAGAACAATTTCTGCTTTTCATGAATTTCAAGTAATTTCTTTTAATTTACTTTACATTATCTCTCTACTTTAGGAAGGTTCATGATTTTGCCAACTTACCCTGGTCAGAAGCTCATTCATTTCTGTCACGAGTGTATTCAGATTGCCCTCTGCCAACTGAATGAGTCTCTCTGGGGCCCGCTGAGGTGAGAGCAAGTGCTGAAAAACATTCCATTCCACAGACATTTTAGTAAATGTTTTCACAATGATCACAGGGCTGAACATTTAATGGAACACATTATCCCTTTATATACAAAAAACTTAACCTTCTTGCCTTCAAAGAAAAGAGGCTGTTTCAGTTGGGCATTTATACTGAATACATTGCATGTACATGGAGCACCATATTAGATTTTCAGGCAAATATTAAGAATTGCTATAATTTATTGAGAAATACTACATTTTCTTATTTTGTGTCATTTTACTGTTTAATTATTACAGTAGCTCTGTGAGGTAAATATTATGCCATTTTTCAGATGAGAAAACTATGGTTGGAAGACAGTTAAAAATTTGTACAAGAACAATTAGTAAGGGGTAGAGTCAAGAATAACTCTACTGTCTGATTCTTTAAGCCTCCCATTCAAGTCAACAGACACACAGCTTGCAGATGAAAAATAGAAAAATAGCCCCTGACATTGGGAACTGTCTGGGCACTAGCTAATTGGCTTGACCTCAGTGCTATAGGAGCTTGTCTTGGCACTTACGACTATGTCTTGGTCTTCTGTTGAACATAAACAGTCTCACAGAATGCCAACATGAGACAAGGTCATTCTGTGTCATTGAAGGATCAAACAAAAATAAAACTGCAATCTGTCTAAGAACAACAAAAACATGATGTCTGTCAAACCACAAAAAATAACAACAACAATAAATAAAAAAAAACATTTCTGGCTAATGTAAGTGTCCACAGCTTCCTCACTAATCATAGTTTTGGCTTCCCACTGGTCTTTCCTCCATCTACATAAAATTAATCAAAATACACAATTACAAAATTACTCCTACTTCCTGATAACATCCAATTCAGAGAAAATCCCTACCTCTTGAACCCTGCCCCAAATTGCCCAATATAAGCCCAAATACTATATTATTCATTTGTTATTGCTGTTATGTGCATCGAATCAGCCCTGACTTATAGTGACCCTTCCTTGGATTTCCAAGGTGGTATCTCTACAGAAGTAGATTGCCCAACCTTTCTTCTGAGGAGTGGCTGGTGGGTTTGAGCCACCAGCCTTTTGGTTAGCAGTCAAGTGCCTTAGGCACTATGCTACCAGAGCTCCTAGCACCCTCTTATCAAGATACTCCATTCCTTGTGGTATGCAGTTCTCTTGTTACAATGAGTTAATGAACTCAACTTTGTTGGGTCTACTTTGTTCTTTTTGATCTTTGCTTAGAACGTGGAAAGCACTGACACAGTTAAGGAGACTGAGCTTTAAAAAGGTTAAATAATTTGCTTAAGATTTTAAGATATCAATACAGGATCCTAAGTATCCAAATATTAGATGAGTTTAGAAGAAAAATCAAAGAATCAAGAAATCTTGGAATTTTAAGAAAAATCAAGATCATTTTAATCAACTCCCAGGTATAAGTGGTATCAGATGACTGCATCACTTAGCTTAGATGTTACCCCCACGCTAGAACTTCTAGACATATGACCTTCAGTACTTCATCATCTATTACTTAAGTATTAGTTTTTTAAATTGGTTATATCCAACTGAAGTATTTGCTTTTCTAATTTAATGTTCTTTTTTATTCCCTCCATGTACAAAGAAAATAACTGGTCAGCATTTTCTTTATTAAAACCCATCACATTTCTAATACTGGGCCTACAAGGTAAACTTCAATTCATCTACCTGACTTTCAAAGTTGTCCTTCATATTACCCTGCTCCACTCAAGTTTTGGTCTTATCTTTTACTAGCAGGCCTGAATCCTAAAGTCCTCCTGAAAGGGCTTGCTAATTCACAGTTCTGCCTCTACTCACATGGTTTCCTCAAGAACAGTTCACTGGTAAGAGTACGCATGGGCTGCAGGTCTGGGAGACCTCACTACATGCTGGCGAGGTACTTCCAGGCAGGTGATTTTATTTCTTTAAGGCTTGCAAGAGGCAGTTTCTTTCTCCTTGGCCCCAAAGCTAGACTGCCTCTTTATAAATTCCAGCTCAACACTTAGTAGCTGTATGACCTTGTGCCTCACTTGTAAGTGCTCTGTGCCTCAGTGTCCTCATCCGAAAAATGTAAAGAATGCAGAACTCCTTTCCTACCTGGAGTTCTTGTCAGCTTTATGTACAGTTACCCATGTAAGGCTTTAGTTGCATGCTTACATGTCTAGCACAGAGGTAGGTGAGCAATACATGTTCATTGTTATTGCTATCATCATTACTGTCCTCTTCTTCTGGGAATACAATACCTCAAAGGCCAGTCAGGATTAAATAACATATTCTCTAGAAGAGTGCCTGCCAACGCCTTATGAATAAATCTTAGATGCTTTCCTTCAGTCCCCACACATTTTCCTCTGCCTAATAAAAGTGTATCTATCCTGCAAGTTCCAACTTAAATTACATCCTCTTTAGTGGTGCATGCCCTAGTTACTTGGAATCTTACTAATTTTTCCAATCTGTGAATTCTCAAAAAAAAAAAAAACCCCACAAACTCATTACCATCGAGTCAATCCTGACTCATAGCGACCCCCATTGGGTTTCCAAGGCTGTAAATCTTTACAGAAGTAGATTGCTTCATCTTCCTCCTGTGGAGCAGTTGGTGGGTTTGAACCACTGACTTTGTAGTTAGCAGCCAAATGCCTTACCTACTATGCTCCAGAGTTCCTTTTGTGAATTCTAATGTGCTTCAAATTTTTATAAATCACATGGTAAAACTGTATGAATTTTTGGTAATTGCTTGATTATCAGCTCATGATTTCATTCATACCTCATTGCCTCCAAGTTTCTCAAGGGTAGAGGCTATTTCTTAGGAGTCATGAAACTGCCAGGGAGCCAAATGCAATACGCTGTGCATTCTGTAACTTCCCAGTAAACACTTGATAATCGACTGGTAGTGTATATGTAACCATTTCATATCTATTTTTCATCAGGTGAAATAGATCAAATTTCCTTAACCTCTCTCCTATTCCATTAAGTATTAAAGTATTACCAATTTTTTTAGAGTAGTATTTCTCAAACTGGTACTTTATGTACTTTCAAGGGTCTAGTAGTTCTTTAGTACAAAATTATAATCATAAGGAGCTCAGGTGGCATAGTGGGCAAGGAATTTGGCTGCTAATCACAAGGTCAGCAATTCAACTCCACCAGTTTCTCCATGGGAGGAAGATGAGGCAATCTACTTCCATAAAAGATTTACAGCTTTGGAAATCCAATGGGGGTTGCTATGAGTTGGAATCAACCTGATGGCAGGGGGTTTTCATGTTGATAATAACCTTAAATATTAATGGAAGCACTTCTGTAACCCTCTCAGGGCACCTAAGAGATAAATGCTGCCATCTGAGTTCAGTGTCTTCATGTGCATATGTGTTTGATCACATGACATATTGGGTACATAAACCATGTGAATATGCCAAGTGATGTGAAATGCCATTTCAAGATTCTTTGCAAAGTGTTCTCTAGTTCCCATTGTGGGAAGGTGGGAGAACTGAACTGCCACATGTCACTTGCTGAGGGAACCTACATGGAAGCAGTATCACGTTCTTGTTGCAAGCAGCAATTTACTTTCAGCAAAAATCATCTATTATTTTATATTAATGTTCTTAATTTGAATTTTATTGGTTTTGTAGGTGCTTTTAAAGATTAACTTGCTTGATTTTATAAAAGCTGTAAGTATGAGCAGTGCATGCCTGATTTTATGTTTACACATATTTATGTAACATAATAAAACAAATTTAGGTCAACACTAGGGGGTGCATAAGACTCTCTTCCCTTAGTAGTAAACTGTATATTACAGTTCTAAAGTCTGGAAAACACTGGGTAAGGAAGCTTTTCAACTCCTGTAATGGGTGTTTTTCTTGATTTAAGGCAGAAGATAAAACATTTACCAATGATGGCCAATACCATTTGGAAAGAATTGTCATTCTGTCTCTGACTCTTGCTGTTTCTACAACAACTTACCTTTAGTTCTTGAGTTGTATTTTCAAGACTGTACAGCATTTTATAGGGAGCAGGCAGTGGGCCAGTGAGGTTGATGTTCATGGCCATCTGCTCCAGGCGAGCCAAGTCACCGAGAAGAAGTCCTGTGCATTCATCTCCACAAACTGTGAAAGAGAAGCAGCAAGGAATATTTACTTCTGCAAAACATCCTAGGCAGATGTTCAAAGATTTCACCTATGAAATATTTTATGGTCCATGTATACTTCTTTGAAAGATGATGCTGATCATCTCAGATAATTAGCACAATCAAATGGATGGCAGTTGAATAGAGATGAAAAGAACAGAAGAAAAATAGACATGCCTGTCGCCCTGAACCTGAAATTAGAGATGATGATTATAAACCAAGAAAAAGAGGAGGAGCAAAGAGATTTTGCAGAAAAATAGCACAGGCCAGGAGTATTAGGAGAAAGGGGTCACCTAAAATGTAACAGATTATAAATGCTTCACATGAATAATCTAGAGGAAACCAGCTAATAGTAAATAAAAACTCTTTCAGAGTCTGAAAATGTATGCAAATATGTGCAGTGCTACAAGACATCATACTGAAGAGTATCCAGAGCAATTTGGACTCTACATATCTCGTATATTACATATTTAAACATTATGTAATCTTGTAGCTTAATATCTACAGAGCAGAATTATTAATAAAATAAACTAGGAAATGCAAAGAGTTTGTGTTTATAATGATTTTCTTTTCATGATGATATGTACCCATTTATTTATTTACTTACTCACTTACCTACTCTTCCTCTTTAGCTTTTCCATGCCTTATCATCCAATATTACATGCAGTCCCACTCGTTCCTACTTGGATGATTAACCTAATCCAGTTTTGTGGATAAATAATTGCTAAGGGCCAGGGATAATTTTATTCTTTAAGTAGTCAAAGTGCTAATATTGGCTTATAATTTTTTCAGTGATTAGGAAAAGGAACTATTTAAATTTGGTGGGGAGGGTCTAAGTGGGGGGCCTGGCGGCAGAGTTCTTAGAGAGGAAAATGGATTGCCATCTGTTCATGAGCAAATTAATTTCATAAATAGAAGTGCAGTTTCTAAAAGTGAAATACATTGCAATTTTGAAGCATTTAAAAATATATAGAGATTTCAGGTTGGACTTTTCAGTTTCACATCATGGACTATGAGTTGAATTTCTCGATGCCAAGGGGCATGTACTACCTTACTTATGATATGATATACATTTTTGTATATAGCTTAATTTCTATCTTATATTCTGCAGGGAGAGGTAGCCAAGCTCTATGCATGTTAGAAGGAGGAAAATACATGGTATGAAAACACTGAGATTTGGAGCAGCTTTGGATCATGCCCTAAACAGGCAAGGGTTCAATTACTTCTCTAAATAGCACTCCCCTGAGCAGTCTAATGGAGAGAAAACCATTAACTAAAGCTTGTAAACAAAGAGAAGTACTAAGGAGGGTGATTTTTAGATAAGACATCAGTTAGAGGTGAGTTACAAAATACCTTCATGGGGATTAAATGTCCCCAGCAGGGCTTTTTATAAATCAGCTCCTTGCAGGTGACACCTGCAACTGTAGAGGTCACCTGCAGGGGTCTGCAAAGTCCCCATGCTTTAGAAGCTGGTGAACAAAGAGCCATTGGAGGTGGGAGCTGCTGTCTGTAACTCAAGCCTCTTACTCTTCCTAATGAGAATCAAGGAGAATTTTCTCTAAATGGAAACTAAGTAAAAAGAAGGGAACATTGGGGCTATTCTTTCTTTAATTCTCATCTCTGGTTTCAGGACTTGAGAAGCTTCAGCAGCCCAGTTTATGAGAAGCACTATAGAAAACATACCCACAGACACAATTAGGTGTCAAATTGACCATGTCTAAATGCCAAGTCCATAGTTTGGTTCTCAGACTTTAGCAGGTGTCAGAATCACCTGGAGAATTTTGTTCAAGCACAAGTGACTGGGCTGCACCCTCCATGAACGTCTGATTCAGGAGCTTTGAGGTGTGGTCTACAAAAATCTGACAAGCTCCAAGGTGACGATGACACCGCTGGTCTGCGGACCACTCTTTGAGTAGTGACTGAGCAGAGTATCATCTGCATAATCTTGGGCCCTAGCTGAAATGTATTAAGTCAGAATCTGCATTTTAATAAGGGCTCCTATATGAGTCGGGGCCGACTCGACGGCACATAACAACAACAACATGTACACTGAAGTTTGAAATGCGCTATTCTAGATCAGTGGTTCTCAACCTGTTCATACATTAGAATCATGTGGAATTTATAAAATACAGATGCCTCAGTCCTTCCCCTCCTTACCTCTAGACAATCTGATTTAATTGGTTTGTGATAGGGTACAGGCGAGAGTATTTATTTATTTATTTTTAATTCCAGATGACTCGGTTATGCAGCCAGAGTTTAGAACCTCAGAACAAGAAGATAAACTTTAGGAATGTTCAATTTTAAAGGAGGAAGAAATTGGAGCAGGCTGGTTCATGTGTTGGCTTTCCTGTCTAGAACACTTACCTCTTCATTTTCACCCAGGTGGTTCTTGTATACCCTGGTCTTAATTCAAGTATTATTTGCTCAGAGAGGAAGGCCCTGATGACTCTGAAACTACCTGGCCCCATCAGTTATCATCACATTCCCTTTATTGTATTATCTTCTCATGTGTATATGGGCTATCTTAATAAAAAATATTTTAAAAATTTTTATTTATTACAACAATCTTATTTATTTATATATTGTTTTTGTCTTTCACTAGAGAGGAGATCTTAATCACCTTTGTCATACAGTCTAAGACAGTGTCCTGCACATAGTAAATACTCAGTAAATATTTTTTACTACTCTGTGAATGAAAGGTTAAAAAAAAAAGAAAAGAAAAGAAAATCAGAATAAGAGAGTGCCAGGGGTTAATATCTGAGCATGGAATACACACATGTATATGAGAAGGTGAGATGGAAGATCAGGGAATTAGAATGCTAGAAGAAGAGGCGAGGAGAGGGAAAGATGTGGGCTGAACAGGAACACCTTCTTCTCGGAGAAAGAAATATGTGATCTGATGAGGTTAGGCAAAGGAGAACCACCCAGGTAAGTGAGGAGCAGGGTAACAGGATAAAAGCAATGGTTAGAAAGAGAGGAAAAAGTCTGTCTTACAATCGGATAGGCAGAGATTGCGTTTCTGGAAGTGTAGGTTATGAAGTTTACATGAGGTAATTCAATTTTAACCCTGGGAAGAGATATAGGAAAATAAATGTAGGGAAGAGACAAAAGACATTATTAAGAAAGAAAGAAAGAAAGAAAGAAAGAAAGAAAGAAAAGAAAGAAGAAAGAAAAGAAAGAAAAGAAAGAAAGAAAGAAAGAAAGAAAGGAGTAGGGTTATTGACCTGACAGCAGCAATGATAACTCTCTGGGATAGATTGAAAATAGTTATATCTTTGCTGCTTCTCCCATTATGAGGTACAGTCTATTTCCCTTGAGTCTAGACTGGCCTTATGACTTGCTGTGACCAACAGAGTGTGGCAGGGAGGCATGTTGCGACTTCTGAGCCTCAGTCTCAAGGGGTTTTACGTTTTCTGCTACCATACTCTTGGAATTCTGCTACCTTGTAAACAATCTCAGGCCAGACTTCTTGAGGATAAGTGGCCTAGTGACAGAGAGAGAGAGAGAGAGAGAGAGAGAGAGAAAGGCAGGTCCAGCTGAGGACCCATCATGTGAATGAGTTCATCTGGGACCCCTCCTTCAAGCATGACAACAAAAGAACTGTCCAACTGAGTCCAGTCTGAATTGCCAACCTAGGAGTCACAAAGAAATACAGCCTTATCTCAGAAATAAGGTAAGCCTTATTTGTGGATTTAGTCCCAGAAAATTACAGAAAAAAATGAATATTGCAATAAAGAAAATCACATGAAATTTTTGGTTTCCCAGTTCATACAGAAGTTATGTTTACCCTATAGTGTGGTCTACTGAGTGTGCAATTGCATTATTAAAATAGTTTGAAATATTGTGAGAATTAACAAAATGTGACACAAAGACATGAAGTGAGTGCATGCTGTTGGAAATATGGTGCCAAACGACACTCGAAACTTCAATTTGTAAAAAAAAAAAAAAAAACACCAGTCTGCAAAGTGCACAAAGCTAAGCACAATCAACGGAGGCATTCCTCTATATTGTGGGTGCTGAAGTTGCTAAATTTTAGAGTGGTAGTAATAGGTACCTGATAGACTTGACCCAAGTTTTGCACGTGTAGTTTGGAGTGTGGATTCAGATTGAAGACTTCTCAGTTTCAACCTTCACAGGCTAAAGACAAGCATTTGTAACACTTCTTAATTTTATGAAGAATTATGAAGACTATGAAGGCTATTTTCTCCATAGATCCCAAGTTCTTCACTGCTTAAAAAATTTCACTTGACTTCTAGTGAGTATGTATTTTTGGCAGATGTTCCCAGGATGTAAGCAAGCAATTTGCTCTTTTTTTCTCTCTGAAGATCTTTCACTTTGAAAGCTACTGGTAATACGAGTCTCACAATACTTCTTAGGGCAGTGTATTCTCCAGGTATCCTTTACGACTCCTTTCTCTACTTTGTCTATAATTTATATCCTACCTATGTCCAAGAAGGAATTGAGTCAATTTACAGATAATGGTATGCCTAAAGGCTCTTTGCTGATGGTTCTAGACACTTTCAGAGAAAACACCTACACTTTTCTCAGTTTTCACTTCATAAAAGAATAAACCAGGGACTGGTATGCAGACCTAGATCTGATTTACTGTAATAGAGTGCACAGTAAATTGGTGAGCTACAATGCCAAGAGGCATGATGAATACTGATGTTTCTCCCATTTATTCTACCCCCTGCCCATCTGTTTTGGTTCCTCATCTTTAGTTGTTGAAATGAAATTGTGTTTAATTGCTTTGTCAAAGACTCATAGATTCCATTTTATGTCTCTGTGTCCAAAGGTCTATTATTGTCACTGTCTCTGTATTTGCTTTTTGGGGAAAAAAGTACAAGCGTATTTCCATAAGAGAAAGCTAAGTTTTATAGCATGCTCCAGTAATATACTAACATCTGTCCAAATGAGTCAGAAAGACTTATGAATATGATAGCCATGGGGATTTCTTAAAAGCCTCTGAAGAAGCCTAGT